AGGGACTCCAATATCCCTTAACTAAGGAATATACCTTAAATTATTGTAGCATAGCTGATATGGTTTAAGGTAGATTCCTTAATTAAGGGGATAATGGAGTCTCCGGGTAGGTCCTGGTCGCCGAGGATGCGGTTGGTGGAGTCCCAGCTCTGAAGTCGGTTGGGAAGCTGTGGGCGACCGTTTAGGGTTTAGGGCTTAGGGTTTAGGGTTTAGGATTAGTCGGTTTGTATTGAGAGTAGGTTAAATCAGAAGATATCAGCCATGTCAGGTCATCAACTTAGATCTTATTGTGTGGTTCAGGATTAGATTAGTCATCGCCCACTTACCTGCTAAACCCTAAACCCTAAACCCCTAAACCCCTAAACCCCTAAACCCCTAAACCCTAAACCCCTAAACCCTAAACCCCTAAACCCCGACTGAGTTTGTCGCCGAACTTTATACCCAAATATCGCACCCTAAATAGTAGGACCCTTGTTACAAGGAACCAAAAATAAGGTACCCCAATTTTTTCAACCCTAAACCCTAAACCCCTAAATCCCTAAATCCCTAAGCCCTAAAACCCTAAAGCCCTAAAGCCCTAAAGCCCTAAATCCCCAAATCCCTAAATCCCTAAACCCTAAAGCCCTAAATCCCTAAATCCCTAAAGCCCTAAAAAGCCCTCAAAGGTCCCAAAAAGTCTTAAAAAGTCCTAAAACGTCCCATATCTCAGGGCTCTCTGCAGTTCCGGGGTTCAGGGTCTTGGAAGCTCCCGGGGCCATCGGCTTCCTGTTTGGGTTTAGTTGTTTGGGGTTTAGGGTTTAGGGTTTAGTTGTTTAGGGTTTAAAGTTTAGGGCTTAGGGTTTAGTTGTTTGGGGTTTAGGGTTTGGGGTTTAGGGTTTAGGGTTTAGTTGTTTGGGGTTTAGGGTTTGGGGTTTAGGGTTTAGTTGTTTGGGGTTTAGGGTTTAGGGTTTAGGGTTTAGAGTTTAGGGTTTAGGGTTTTTGGGGTTTAGGGTTTAGGGTTTCGGGATTTAGGGTTTAGGGTTCAGGGGTTTAGAATTTAGGGTTTAGGGTTTTTGGGGTTTCGGGTTATTAGGGTATAGGATTTGGGGTTCAGGGTGTCGGGTTTAGGGTTCAGGGTTTCGGGTTTAGAGTGCCGGGTTTAGGGCTTAGGGGCTGGAGTTTGGAGGTCCCGGGAGTTGCTCAAGACCATGGCTCTTATTTGGGATCCCAACAGAGCCCTATACCCGGCATTCCTAAGCCTTAGACCTTACGGTTGATGATGGAAATCCTGCATTTACCTTCAGGACCCTAAACTGAGCAAATATGGTATATTCCTTATTATGGGTAATCAACCCTAAGCATCCCTGAACCCTAAACCCTGCAAGAATTCCCATGCTGTCATCTTGAGCTCTTCGGCGTACGAAGATATGCCTACGAAGCTTTGTGTGGATCAAACGAGTTGGGGAGAAAAGACCGGCTGTTCTTATCGTAGCCTTCGGCCTGTTATCGTAGCCTTCGGCCTGCCATCGAATAGCCCTCGCCATTCATCTCTATCTGCATAAGCTCGGGCAATCAGGCGAATCATACCGTGCAAGCTTATCGCTTGCATGGTAGCGGAGCCCCGTAACAAGGGCTCGGAAGATCCAGGGACACGGGCTGACTGACGTTTTCCTCAGTCAGAAGACAAGCGATGGCACTCGAGAGTGCCGCTAAGACACGGGATGGTCCGCCTAGTTGGGATGGTGCCGCTGATAGCTTTCAGAGCTACTGTGAGTCGGCTCTGCTCTATGAACAGACGATGCCGTATCACAAACGGTACCTCGTGGGCCCGAAGCTACAGAGCGAGCTGCAGGGGGCAGCCCGACGGTTAGTTGTGGGACAAGCAGCAGACTGGATCTCCTTCAATGGAGGCGTACAAGTGTTGCTTGATCATCTTCGTCGGTGCTTAGGCAAGCCGCAGGTTCCCGAATTGACTGAGTTGTTGAGTCGTTATTTCAAGAACTCTCGCAGGAAGCCGGGTGAGTGCATGGGGGATTACATCACGCGAAAGTGTGAACTGTATGTGCGAGCACAGCAGTCCATGCACCGGCTTCGCCCACATCATGAGGCCACACCTCCTCCTACCGGTGATCAGTGGAGCTCATGGGGCCGATCGGGACGAAGATCAAGTGGAGACTCGAACATGACATCGGAGTGGGGAGCTGATGCCGATGAGGATCAGAGTGCTCCGGTGGAAGGGGGAACCACACCAGCCGCGCCCACTGGGACGGCGACCGGCACTCAGGATCAACGAAGTGATCCGGGCACAGAGTGGCAGTGGGGTGGCTGGCACTCCGGATGGTACTCCCGTAGTTGGGGCTGGGAAGGCTCCTACTACAGAGATTGGGAGCGACAATCCTCTTACTCCCAGAACCATCGGTCAGGGAGCCTGCCTCAGCTCGTGCCAGAGTTTGTGCAAGCATGGATGTTGCTTCAGGATGCAGGTTTGGACCCTCAGGAGAAGAACACCGTGATGATCGCCACTCAGGGCCAAATGACCCTCCAGAGGGTCGCTCAGGAACTACGTAACCAATTCAATGACGCTTGGTGATCATTGCGAGGTGGAAGATTCCGAGGATGATGCAGCTCCAGAGGCTTCGTTCATTGCAGAAGATGAATTGAGTCCTGAAGGTTTGGCTCTTTGGGCGGAGGCCGAAGAAGAAGTCCAAGGGGCACTGGCGGCGCTCCACCAGGCGAAGCGAATGCTTCGAGGAGCCAGAGAACGCCAGAGGCAGGTGAAACAGAGTCGCCAGTACTTTCGTCCCGGTTCCTTTCCGGGACGAACCTCAGGAAGCAGTGCTGATAAGATCACCTGTTTGAAGTGCGGTGGACAAGGACACCGCGCGGCTCAGTGCACAGCTCCCCCCAAGCCTAAAGATCCTAAGACCGAGATGGCTCCCTTCATTTGCTTTGCCGAAGAAGGATGTCGGGAAACAGCTCTTCATGCTCAGGCAACGACCTCGTCGCGGCCCATTACCACCTCAAAAGCAGTTATGATGGGTAAGGGTGTCGTTGATTGCGGAGCAACCAAGTCTCTCGGTTCAGTGCTAGCCCTAGAACGTGTTATGGCTTTGAGCAAGAACGGGGTTAGTGAAGTTGATATGGAGAATCGGCCAACCTTTGGCTTCGGCAACAGCACGGAAGATCAACGTGTTTCCACGCTGAATCTCCGATTGAGTGCCGGAGGCCGACCAGGTTTGCTGCGCATCCATGCCCTCGACAAAGGTGCCGCACGGGTGCTTTTGAGCATCGACACCTTGCGGTCCCTCAAAGCCATAATTGATTTTTCAGACGATAGCATAGTTCTGAGAGGCATCGACGCTACGAAGGTGCTGGTACTAGAGCGATCATCTACCGGTCACCTCTTGCTGCCACTCACGGGGGATATCTTGGAGGGAGCGGTGACGACTCACCGTCCAGTTCCAGGTCTTCAGGATTATGTGAATGGCACGTGTAGTGTTCTCTCTGACCCGAACACGCCCTGTCCAGTGAAGGAGTCGGTGCTTGAGGCATCCACAGGGTGTGAGGTTTTTGGTGGCAGCCCCGAGTAGGGACAGCACCTTCCCGATCCGAGTCTTGACGGAAAAGGGAAGGACCACGTTGTGTCATCAAGACAGGGTTTGCTCACAACTGAATCTAGTTGTGCAGTCATGTTAACGCAATCCACTTGTACAGCTTCGGATGCCGTAGGAGTGTGTGCCCAGGCTAATCTTGATCTAGCGAAGAAATTGCAGTCGTCCAGTCAGTGTGACCGCAGCCGCGCACATCACAAATCACAGTGAAATCGCGAATTCTCCAGTTCTTGGCCTTCGAGATCATGGACCTCACCTTGGAGGAGCTTCGCAAGGCAGTCAAGGATCTGGGCGAGGAGCCGTCGCGGGGAGCAACGAAAGTCGAGTTGCGCTATCGCTTGGAGGAGTTGACGGGCAAGGACACCAGCGTCAATGTGAAGACAGCTGCCAAGGAAGCTTCTCCCATGCAGGGCTTGGTCAAACGTCTCAATGCGGCATCCCGCAAGAAGGCCGATCTGGTGAACTTTTGTCGCCAGGACCTGAGCATGGACATGCACGCTCTGGGCAACAAGACCATCGCGCAGCTGCAGATGCTTGCGATGCAGCACATCAGCTCCCACACGCAGCCCCACTACTCGGACCAGGTGGGCTTCGGCAAACACAACCGTCGCTCCTACCTGGATGTCTACCACAACGAGAAGGAGTATTGTCGGTGGGTTCAAACCACGGCGGTGGAAAATCCGACCAGCAGCGATCCCCGTCTTCGACGATTCGCCCGCTGGCTCCAGCAGCAGGAGGACAGCGAGATTCTTCCGGAGGTCGAGGCCAAGAAGGATTTCACCACGCAGTTCCGCCCAAAGAATCGCAGTGGACCCCCACGTCGAGCCACCGAGGAGGCAACCGGGTCTGCTTCGTCCAATTCGAGCGAGACTGTGAACCAGCAGATGATGGCCACGATGTTCGAGATGATCCAGAATCTCAAGGACGAGATTGTGGAGCTCAAGGGCGAACCCACTCGCAAGAAGGGAGCCAAGTCCGAGGAGAGTGGGACCGAGACGGACGGATCCTATGCGATGGTGAATGCCAGGTCTCCTGTGAAGGAGGCGCGCTCCCCATGAGCTCGTCCACTGAGGTGAGTGACACTGAAGGACTAAATGCCTTCGGTGAGGGTTCGGGCCGTGAGTTAAGTGCCTCGCAGAAGCTTAGTCGTCAGTTGTCTCTAGGTAAAGCTCGAATCCTGGAGGAACAGGCTGACAGTGTGGTGCCCAAGTTACTTCAAGGTTTGGTGTCCATGCGACGCACGGCCCTCCTCGAGATAGCTTGTAGTCCAGACAGCTTGCTTACCTCAGCGGTTCAGTCGCTGGCAGATGATCCTGCAGTAGCTAGTCGTTGTTCTTGGTGGAACAGCGGTGACTTGAGTACGGATTCAGGTGTGCGACATGTGCTATATCGACTGGACCTTGAGTGTCCAACTCACGTGTGGATCTCACCTCCTAGTGATGCGTACTCACCTTTGCAGAATCTTAATCAACGTAGCGCGCAACAAAAAGAGGAACTCCAACAGAAGCGTAGTGAAGCCTTGAAGATTTTAGTTGGAGCGAGTGTGGTGTATCATGCGTGTGTTCAACGAGGGATCCACGTGACACTTGAGTTACCCGAACGATGCCAGGCCTGGCGGATGCCCCTCTTCCACAATCTGAAACAGAAGTATTCCTTGTTTGAAGCGGTGACCTGTGGTTGTAGAGTAGGTTTACGAAACAGCCCAAAAGAGCCGTTGTTGAAGCGTGGTTGGAAACTTCTGACAACACATCGTCGATTGTCTGAGATCATGAGTTTGCCCTGCGTGTGTCCTCGGACATATGCTCATGGAAGATGCGAGGGTTCCGGGGTTTTGCGCAGTGAACTGTATACCAAGGAGTTTGTTCGCAAGGTGGCAAAAGCAGTTCTGCAAGAGCACAACACGAGAGCGACGCTTCAGGAGTGTCAAGGACACAGTCAGCTGCTGGCTCGTTTTGGTGAAGGGTCGTGTTGTATGTGTAAGGAAGTGACTTTACCCCAAAGACCCCGAAAGTGTGCACACTGTCTGCAATCTTTGGATAGAAGTCCGCCACAAGAGAGCAGTGGGGTTTCTGTGGAAGAAGTGGCTTCAGAGGGTGATTGTGTCGCGCCTTTGGATGATACGTTTGAGGATGCTCTTTTCCTTCAGAATGAGGTGGAGGAACTTGAGAGGGTTGCCCAGGGTCTTTTGAAAGACAAGGATTTTAGGCATGAGTCGTGTGATCAGTTGTTAGAGATGCTTCCCTACAAGGCGAGAACTCGACATAGGAACATGCTAGGACATGATCCCGCTCTGTACGTGGCCCTCGGCGCTTTCTCGCATGGTAATCAATATGGAGTGACCAAACGTACCCGACAAATCCCCAATACCGTGAAGTATCTGTTGCAATACCTTCATCATGTGAACGGCGGTGCTTTCCGATGTACCTCCCTGGTGATCAATCGCAATGCTCACTGCCCGGTGCACCGGGATGTTCACAACGACCCTGAATCCCTCAACCGCATCATAGGTCTAGGCCCCTACACCAAAGTAGAACTCTGGGTAGAGTGCCCGGACCCCTCAGTTTCGCAAAACTTGGTCCGCAAGGTGTTGCCGAACGGCACCGTGGTCAATGGACAGCTTCACAACATCCGACATCGATTGGTGGTCTTTCCGCCCAAGGCGTGGCACGGCCCAGAAGATTGGGAAGGTGAGCGTAGGACTCTTACGGGTTATGTCAGTAGGGGTTGGAGGTGTATGTCTTCGGAGGATTCGGAGTTTCTGAGTTCCTTGGGTTTTCAGATGCCCGTGGAAAAACCCCAGGCCCTCGCGCTCTCCCGTAGGAATCCGGAGCCTAAAGCCTCAAGCCTCAAACAACTTCACAAACAAGAACGTGAGAGAGTTCAGAAGCAGTTGTACATGTTGCATGCTGCTACGGGACACGGAAGCGTGAAGTCATTGGTGGATGTTCTTAGGCGTAGGAACGCTCACCCCGAAATCCTGAAGATGGCCCAAGAATTTAAGTGCTCAGTGTGTGCCGAGAAAGCCAAGATTCAGCCCCGACATTTAGCCTCCCTTGAAGCATTGCCACCCAAGTGGCACACGGTTTCGGCGGACATTGGTCATTGGAGGCCTCCCAGAACAGGTGAGGTGGTTCAATTCATGTTGATTATTGACGAAGGGTCGAGGTTTAGGGTTGCTAGGATCTTGAGTAAGGGTTCGAAGCAACAACCAGGCACCGCCACCTGTTTGCAGTACTTGCGTGAGGGCTGGGGATCATATTTTGGGTTGCCTCGGGCTTTGAGATTGGATCCTGCGGGGGCTTTCAGATCTCAAGGAGTGGTTGATTTCTGCGATAAAGAACATATCTTGCTGGACATTGTGCCTGCGGATGCACATTGGCAAATCGGAGTTTGCGAGCAGGCGATTAAAGGGGTTAAGGAGGTGATGACGAAGATGAGTGATGATGATGAACAGGCCTCTCCGGAAAACCTGTTGTCCATGGCTGTGTCAGTGTTTAACCAGAGGGAACAAGTTCGAGGATTTTCTCCTGTTCAACATGCCTTTGGTAGAAGTCCTGACATCACCGGTCGTCTCGTGTCTGCCTGTACTGAAGTTCCTGATGACCTCATTGTGGAGTGTGCCACTGCGGAATTCGAACAATCAGCTAAACTCCGAGTATCAGCTGAGAAAGCCCACGCTGAATGGAACGCAGCTCAGCGAATTAGCAGGGCAGTGAACTCGAAGTCTCGGCCCCGGCATGTGTATCAGCCAGGAGAACTAGTGTATTTCTGGCGTTTACAGGAATCCGGTCAGGGACGCCACAAACCGGGATCTAAGCAAGGTAGGTTCTTGGGGCCCGCTAGGATTTTGGCTGTTGAGTCCAAGCGAGATCCCGATGGGAGCTTGCTGCCTAAGGGTTCGGTGTGGTGTATTAGAGGTAGACAGCTTCTGAAATGTAGCCCCGAACAGCTGAGACCGGCTAGTGAGCGCGAAGAGTTGTTGGAAGCCGTCGCGCGCGACCAAGGTAGGGACCCAACCCCCTGGACTTTTACCCGTTTGGCGTCCGAAATCGGAGGAAACCAATTTGAGGATGTTTCCGAGGAAGGGCCGACGGACGAGGAATGGTACCGCGCACAGGATGTTCAAGAGGAGATTCCCCCAGCGAGATTTCGGATGCGAGGCAAACGCGCGGAACCCGAACCTAGGAGCGTTGAGGACGATGAAGATATGGAGGCCACTCACACCGCCACAAGTTCTCGAGGACCTCGACCCCGTTTAGGTTCCAAGGGACCCTTCTTCACGGATGCGGATGCCGAGCGGTGGACAGCTCAGGTCCCTGAGTCCGCTTGGTCGGCTGAGGCGGTTTCATTCTGGGACGATAGTTCTGCCGCTGTTGAGGTTGAAATCGACATGCCACAAACCGTCAAGCAATGGGATCGGGCGGCTGAAAATCTTCCGGCCTACTTCACTGGGGCTCTTAAGAGACAGGCCATTGAAGTCTCCGAAAAACGTCTTAGTCCGGAAGAACTCCAAAAGTTCCGAGAAGCAAAAATGATTGAGGTGAAAAACTTCTTAGCCGCGCAGGCGTTTGAAGCTCTTCCCAAGCACCTTCAACCCAGCAAGGAGCAGGCAATCGGCATGCGATGGGTCCTCACTTGGTTAACGAAGGACTCAGGTGAGGTTAAGGCTAAAGCCCGAGCGGTGTTATTAGGATACCAAGATCCCGCTTATGAACATCGTTCAACTACCGCCCCCGTCATGACTAGGCAGACGCGTCAAATGCTCCTCCAAGTTGCTGCTAATCACAAGTGGAGTGTCTACAAAGGAGATGTAAGCGGCGCGTTCTTGCAAGGTAGGGAGTATCCTGGTTCCTTGTTTTGCATTCCGTGTGATGAAATCTGTGACTGTATGAACATTCCCAGGGGATCCGTCACTAAGTTGAAACGTGCCTGTTACGGACTGGTTGACGCGCCCCTTGAGTGGTATAGGACGGTCTCGGAATTTCTGGAGTCACTGGGATTGGAAAGGCTTTGGGCTGACGCGTGTTCATGGGCCTGGCGTGCGGAAGGTAAGATTCAGGGCATGGTGTCAGGTCATGTGGATGATTTCTTGTTCACAGGAAATGAGGCCAATGCGAGCTGGCAAGAGATTGTTCGTAGAATCAAGGAGAGGTTCCACTGGGGTGATTGGGATCGTGATGAATTTGTTCAGTGTGGAGTGAAGGTCTCTAGGCATGACAACGGGTTTAGTCTGTCGCAAGAGAAGTATGTTGAAGAGATTCCAGAGATCCCCATAAACAGTTCTCGTCGCAAGGACCCTAAGGCTACCACCACAGGGTGGGAGAAGACGCAGCTTCGTGCGCTTCTAGGTGCCCTCAGTTGGCATGCCCAACAAGTTGCCCCGCACATCAGTGCGGAAGTGGGGATCCTTCTTTCAGAGGTAAACACGAGCACAGTTCATCATCTTACCCAAGCCAACATGCTGTTGCAGAGTACGCGAGCTCGCAAGAACCATCAGATGTTGATTCATGGCTTTGACCCGATGATGGAGCTGGGTGTGTATGCTTGGGTTGATGCTGCTAGCCAAAACCGGCATGACGGCGGAAGTACTCAGGGAGTGTTTATAGGCTTAGCTCCTGTGTCCTTGTTGAAGGGTGAAGTTTGTCCTATCACTCCTATATCCTGGCATTCTCATAAGATTGACAGGGTCTGTCGTAGTCCAGGAGCAGCTGAAACCCAGGCAGCAGTCAACGGAGAAGATCAAATGGTCTATGCGAGATACCAGTGGGCAGAAATCATGTACGGGAATGTGGATACTAAGGATCCAGACTCCACCGTGAAGAAAGTTCTCGGATGTGTTATCTCCGACTCGCGCAATGTCTACGACAAACTGCAAACCGAAGTACTTTCCATCAAAGGTGCAGAAAAACGTGCAAACCTGGAGCTCTTAGCCCTCAAGGAGTCGCAGCTGCGGACCAATGTGCACATACGATGGGTTCATTCGGAAGCACAACTGGCCAACACGCTTACCAAAGCCAACGGAGGCCGAGAAATGGAGTTATATTATCGAATGGGACAT